AGTGTACACGTTGATGGGAAGCAGCGAAAAAGCAGAGCGCCTCTCCCCCCCCCCACCCCACACTGCAAGCCAAACTGCGCCCCAATTCATGTCCCTGCCTGCAGGACAGAAAGCTTGGTTGACCTGGGGGAAAGTGACCCGAGATTTAACCGGTTGACGGCGCGTGCTGGTAGCGGCGCCATTTCCCACTGCGCCACCTCTGCCCACCTGACAATCGTCTGCGCTTCTGAGTCTCTTTGATTACCATTATAATCGACTCTTCGGAATTCTACACGTTTTTTCGCCAATATTACAAGTAATGGTCATCGCGATAATTTTGGTCACTGCGGAGTGACGGTGATACGAGCTGAGGCATGTCAACAGGCCTGGTTAGTGCGACGCCAGCTAACTCTCCTCCAGTTGTTGAAGAGGAAAAGCAACAACAATTGGCGGAAAACGTACTGGCACCGCCCCGAGCCCCGCCCCTGACACGTCTCAGCACCCACAACGAACAAGACTGTGAAACCTTTCAGGAGGACAAGTAGACAGATAATGGGAACGTGATGAAATCATTCACCCACAGACTTGTGCGGGTTTTATTCAGAATAGCCGCTCTTTGTTCCTTAGTCGCGTGAGTAATTTTTCAAATCAGGATTTCTCCATTTTTTTCACTTTTCTGAATACGATTTATTGTTTCAGAAGTTATGAAGTGCGCTCTGTTAACACGGCATGGGGTGTTGTGAGAGGAGAGCTGGTGCACCCGGATGGAGCCGATCTGGCACCCGTCACACAATTTCTTGGTGTACCCTACGGTGTAGCTCCCTCCGGACAGGTGAGGCTCTTTCATTTAGCCTGTGACTAGAACTTGTCCTCCAGCAAAGCTGGACCATGATATACTTTTGGTCCTTCGATCATTCTGAACACACAATTCGAATCATTGTATGGGCGGAGACATAGAAGAATGTAGCTGGTGTCTCCCTGTATGCCGAATAACGTACCAATGAGAAAGAGAAAGTGGTTCTCTGTCTCCGCTTATACAGTCATCGCTGAGCCTTGAATCGCTCACATTTTTCGCAACTGTTCATTTTCAGTTTCGCTTCAATATGGCTATATCAGCTGCAAAATGGACGCATCTGCCCAAAGAAGCCCGAAAACTGGCTCCAGCCTGTATTCAAACACAACTTCCTGAACTCAGTGAAACAAGGTTACGATTTGATTCTTGATTCCTGAATTCAGGGGAACCCTTCCACCTCGGATCTGTCTTCCAGCTCTATCAGTACCTGGAATGAATTGGCTCTTGAGTAACTTAGTCTAGGCCAAAGTTCAATTCAGGAAATCGAACTCTCCCCAGGGTAACCTTCCAAGGAAGTTGTTGATTTGCGGTGTTCCAGCGTCAGAGCGAGAGGTCTTAACGCTTAATGGTTATGAATTTCATGTTTATGGATTAAGGTCTCCCAGGGGACAAAGTCCATATCTAGCCCCAGGGTATTTTAGTGGCTGCTAAT